CGGTACGTACGTCGACTTTAACTTTTACTTCTAGTACTTACTTACTTCTACGAGTACTCGTGTAGTACACGAAGTATTATTTGTTATTTAGTTAGTATCTTTCTTTCTCTCTCTCTCTCTCTCTCTCTCTCTCTCAATTTCTATTGATGTTTTTCCTGTTTGGCAGAAGAGAGAGAGAATTTAAGGTGGTTATTAAGTTTGTTGCTCATGCCAACTTGCAACATTTGGGTGAATTTCTAGCTGGTAGACGAGTGGACGCCCCGCAAGAAGCTCTCAAGGTTCTTGATGTAGTCCTAAGGGAACTCTCAAGGCAAAGGTGCGCTTTTTTAAAAGTGAGTTTCTTTGATAGTATGCTGCCTTTTGTTGTTTTTTTTTTAGTAAAGTTAACTGTATTTCATTGGCCAAAATGACCGAAGTTACAAGAGGTGTGGCGATCCCGAGGTATCGCACTATTCGGGCCCAATCAGGGACGAAGCAGTGTCTGCCTGCCTTTTGTCGTTATAATTAAGATTAGCTTTTGTTCATGTTCTGAGTCCTAAATTCCTTCTAAACCGGAAAGATTGAATTTTTATTTTATTCATCAATTGGATTATTGTCTATAGGTACTGTCCCATTGGGAGATCCTTTTATTCCCCTGAGCTTCGAAGACCACAAAGGCTTGGAGATGGGTTGGAGTCATGGTGTGGTTTCTACCAGAGTATCAGGCCTACACAAATGGGGCTTTCCCTAAATATCGGTAGATTTTTTTCTCATCCTAGATGAATTTACTTTGCATGTTGTAGAAACCAATGTTATAAGCAGCGCAATATTTTATTGTTCTTTTCTTGATTTTGCTAGATATGTCGTCAACTGCTTTTATTGAACCGCTCCCTGTTGTTGAGTTTGTGGCTCAAATCTTAAACAAAGACGTATTATCTAGGCCACTGTCCGATTCTGAACGTGTTAAGGTAGCCTTCTTCCTTTGATTTGTTTTGGACCTAGTGAAATACACATTCCTTTAACAAATATAATAAGAATATAGTAGGAACATTAATGATATAATACATAGTATCACCTTATTGCAAAGATCAAGAAGGCTCTTCGAGGTGTGAAAGTAGAAGTCACACACAGAGGAAATGTGCGTCGGAAATATCGAATTTCAGGATTGACATCACGACCCACTAGAGAGCTTGTGTAAGAATCTTTATCTTTCTCTTTCTCTTCTTCTTTTCCTAGGTGAGTAATAAGCTTGGGGTAAGCAGTATCCCTGCTAATCCATATATGAGATCAATTCACATCTTATACTAATACTATATACATTCATTTGATTTTGTTTTGTTATCCTGGGCTTACTAAGATGCTTATGCGTCAAATGTGCATTCATATGTTTCAGGTTTCCTGTTGATGACTTGTTAAACATGAAGTCAGTTGTTGAATATTTCCAAGAAATGTATGGATTCACTATCCAATACACACATCTACCATGCCTTCAAGTGGGAAATCAGAAAGTAAATTATCTGCCGATGGAGGTAAGCATCTTTAACTGTGATGACCTTCCTTGACATGTGAGGTGAGCATATCTAACTATGATGTCTTTCCTTGGGATTGGTTTACTTTTGTCTATATAACTGAGACTCCATATGTTGGTTGTAAATCGTAGACATGCAAAATTGTGGAGGGACAACGTTATACAAAGAGATTGAATGAAAAACAGATCACCTCTCTTTTGAAAGTTACATGTCAAAGACCAAAGGACATGGAAACAGATATTCTACGGGTACAAATGTGACTGCAATTGTTCTGTGTGCATGGAGAGAGAGAGAGATTGTGATTTTGTTGAACTCATAAATTTGCTCTTATGCCAAGAGAGAATAACTTTTCCTGGATCTATTTGAGAATGCTATTTCTTGCAGACTGTGCATCATAATGCATATGACCAAGACCCATATGCAAAGGAATTTGATATTAAAATCAGTGAAAATTTGACCCCTGTTGAAGCACGGATCCTTCCAGCACCTTGGGTAAATTTGCACCTCAAGCCATTGACTTTCATTTCGATTTAAAGTTTGTGCCTCCTTCACCAAGTACTGGCTCAGAGATTGATTGAGAGCAAAAGTGTTTTTTGTTTGAATAGCTTAAATATCATGACTCTGGAAAAGAAAAAGATTGCTTGCCTCAGGTTGGTCAGTGGAATATGATGAACAAGGTACCGCCCTGTCCACACTTTTTTTTTTAAGTTGTTTTATTCTACTCTTTTGGTAAGGAACAAAACTTCAAGCTAAGGATCAATATAATGACAGATTGAATTATATTGGCCTCCATGATTAATTGGTATTTTTCTTATGAACAACTGCATACTCTTTTTGGTGAATAACAGAAAATGATCAATGGGAGCACTGTGAACCATTGGGCATGTGTTAACTTCTCCCGGAGCGTTCAAGATCATGTCGCCCGTGGGTTTTGCAGTGAGCTGGCTAAAATGTGTCAAGTCTCTGGCATGGTAAATCTTGTGTTTTGCCAAACCTTCTTTTTACCTTTTTTTTTTGTTTTCTTTTGGACAAGTTACCAAAACCTCTATCTTCTTGCAAGATGCCATTTTTCTGAGAAAAGTTGTGCATTTTTTGGAAATGATATTTTGATGCTTAGACATGAAAGACTTTTATACTTAAATAAATTCAATTTCAGAAATTTATAGGGAAAACTATTCCTTGTACCTTTATAATTCTCGTTTGGGTTTTACATTTTTCCTGAATTTTATTTTTATTTATATTTATGCTTATATTTGATTCTTCTTACTTCCTTTGGGGTTTCCTTTGAAAACCGTTTTCTTTTTAAATTCTTCCAAAAATTAAATCCCTAAGAAATTTCCAAGAGAACTTTGTTGTTACCATTCAAATTTGCTTGTTTTCCATTTTCTCTTCTCTTTGCTGCCTTGCATTTCAATGTTTCGTGAACCATGCTGTAAATTAGCCAGCCAAGGATTTTCTTTCTCTAGATGGTTTTCTTATTTTTAAGAGTTTAACTAGAGTTGGGGTCAATCTATTATGCTATAGGTATTCAATCCTGAACCCATTATCCCTATCTACAATGCCTGGCCCGAACAAGTGCAAAAGGCTTTGAGACATGTCTATAACGCAACCATGAACAAGCTCAATGGGAAAGAGCTAGATCTACTCTTGGCCATTCTACCTGATAATAATGGCTCTTTGTATGGTATGTCTTTCCTCATATTATGTTGATTTTGTCCGGTCTTCTAAATTAAATTTCTATTTGCAAATAGTATATGACGCTGATTAGCAGATGTTTGAATGGTTCAAACCTGAAGAATATTATCGAATTTGCAGGTGATCTTAAACGGATATGTGAAACTGACCTGGGCCTGATATCTCAGTGCTGTCTCACAAAGCATGTGTTCAAGATAAGCAAACAATACTTGGCAAATGTCTCTCTAAAGATTAACGTTAAGGTCAGCTGGAAAAACATGTTAGGAAGCATTAAATCATAGAGAACTATGTATCAAATTTCCTTTTGAACTGTATTCTAGTTTACAGAATCAATTCTGCACAAATCTTTATTTGATACTGGTGTTTGACTGTATGCGAGAGAGAGAGAGAGAGAGAGAGAGAGAGAGAGAGAGAGAGAGAGAGAGAGAGAGAGAGAGTAGAGTAGTAGTAGTAGAGTAGTAGTAGTAGTAGTAGTAGTAGTAGTAGTAGTAGTAGTAGTAGTAGTAGTAGTAGTAGTAGTAGTAGTA